TATATATATATATATATATATAACCTGCGAAGTCAGGCGTGGCGGAAGGCCACCGTACACTTCGGTGTCAGTTACAAAACAAAGGAAAAGAAATAAAGAAAAAAATAAAATATATATATATATAGCCTGCGAAGTCAGGCGTGGCGGAAGGCCACCGTACACTTCGGTGTCGTAGCGGAAGGCTACCGTACACTTCGGTGTCAGTTACAAAACAAAGGAAAGAGTAAAGAAAAGATATATATATATAACCTGCGAAGTCAGGCGTGGCGGAAGGCCACCGTACACTTCGGTGTCAGTTACAAAACAAAGGAAAAAGAAATAAAGAAAACAAATATATATATATATATATAGCCTGCGAAGTCAGGCGTGGCGGAAGGCCACAGTACACTTCGGTGTCGTAGCGGAAGGCTACCGTACACTTCGGTGTCAGTTACAAAACAAAGGAAAGAGTAAAGAAAAGATATATATATATAACCTGCGAAGTCAGGCGTGGCGGAAGGCCACCGTACACTTCGGTGTCAGTTACAAAACAAAGGAAAAAGAATAAAGAGAAATATATATATATAGCCTGCGAAGTCAGGCGTGGCGGAAGGCCACCGTACACTTCGGTGTCGTAGCGGAAGGCTACCGTACACTTCGGTGTCGTGGACGTTGGGCCACCGTTACAAAACGAAACCGCTCGCTCCTCGGCGTAGTCAAGCCCTGCTGGCCAGGCATGCGACCCGCAGGTCGTTTTCAGATAAGACCGGCACTGATTTCGGCAGTCAGAGTCTCAGCATGACCAGTAAGCTCCGGCAGTGATTCCGGCACAGTGTCGCTCATATACGTGTTAATCTATTATCTCTCCTCCCCAGATCACCAGTCACCCCACAAGGTAAGCAACTCAGTTCATCTCAGTATTCATACTTCACTGGTTTTGGGGATTTCATCGGAGCGGTGCTTTCTCTCCTGAATGATTATCCTGCAAACCGGGGGCCTAATCGCCAAACACCATTACATTCTCCTGTTGTACTATCATGGCAATCATTTCATTCATATGACGTGTAAACAATAAATATGTAATTCTTACATCACGTCTCTCCGGTTTTGAAATGAAAGCTTTAGCGCACGTTCAATAAGGAAGACCTAACTCGAGTCACTCACACGTCACTCTATGGCTCCCTTCCCCCCCTCATTAAATCAACAAGTCCTCCAACTAATACGACCAAATAGGTCGATTGTTTTTCCGACCCAAATACGACCCATAGCCACGTTTTAAAGTGTAGCACCTCTAGTGGTCGTGTAAGAAACAACATGCTCCCGTCTATTCATTTCTATTAGCAACTCCTGGCGGATCGTAATCCCGTGAACTTTAACCTTGCGCATCAATAAAAGTGCGACGAGTGAAGAAGAAGAAGAAGAAGAAGAAGAAGAAGAAGAAGAAGAAGAAGAAAGAAGAAGAAGAAGAGAAGAAGAAGAAGAAGAAGAGGAAGAGGAAGTGGTAAAATGCTAACTCACCAGGGTTTTTTGGACTCGTCACTGCATCACTGACAACATCCATTTATTTCCTACAGACAAGCTAATAAAGGTGAGTAGTCGGATTTATTTTGTCGTCTAGTACAGTGACTAAGATTACTATGTTTACCTAGGAATAATGATAGCAAAGCTAAATTAGCCAAAAGTAGAATCAGCTAACGTTAATGTGAGCATGGAAGTTATGTGATCCATCGGTTCATGCGGTTTATCCAAATGTTATCACACGTCACATTCTTTATAACTATATTAAATACTATTTTCTAATTTCTATATTCTTGAGCACCTGCCCCTATAAATGTCTGTGCACGCCACTGAGTAGGGGTGTAACGGTACACTTACCCGTACCGAAATTATTCGGTATGGGCCCTTCGGTTCGGTACACGTGTGTACCGAAGTGTACCGAACGAATATAACGTTAAACGTAAAAAAATTAGAACGTGAACAACTTTTTGGAAGTAATCTCAGATCGCAGCATTCAGAGTAATTTGCTCACATTGGGTTCAATGCGTCATAGAGCGAGCAAGTCATTTCATTGGACGAGAGGCATACTATGAGAGCTGGTCACAGGGATGCGTTCACATTTAGTCAGTAATTTGAGGAACTGTTGAAATGGCGCACGCAGATAAAGTTGAGCTCGAAAATACCTCCAGCATCATTGAAGTCTCCGGTTTGGAACATTTTGGTTTCGCAGTTACGTACAAGAATGACGGACAAAGACAGGTGGACCGAACCAAAGCTGTTTGTCGGCATTGTTCAACTACAATTGGTTACGCGGCTGGCAATACATCAAACTTGCACAATCATTTGAAAAGGCATCACCCGGACGTGAATATCACCGGTACCAAAAGAAAAAAGGCTGAAGTGCAAACTCCCACTAGCATTTAAGGCCTCCACCACTCGCAAAAAGTTTAGACCGAGCCAAGCTATTACAAACGCCAAATATCCTTATGTTGCCATGTTAGCAAAGCGCTACCTAGCTGTATCTGCTACCTCTGTCCCTAGCGAGAGGGTGTTCTCCACAGCAGGAGACATTGTTAGTGCCAGCAGATCTGCCCTTTCGGCAAGTAATGTGGACAAGTTAATTTTTCTTTACAAAAACATGAAAATACAATGACAAGCAAGTCATAATGTCAAACTGGCTGCATAGGTACTAGTACAGTACAGTTAAAATACAGATTATTTCAGTTCATCGAAATGCTGCACCTAATGTTTATTTTATTATATTTTGTATTTATTTGAGTGAATATTCACAGTTTAATAATAATTAAAACCCAAAAGTAATAGTCTATGTTTTGTGAGTACTAGTGCAGTAAAGTTCAAATACAGATTATTTCAGTTCATCGAAATGCTGCACCTTAATGTTTATTTTATTATATTTTGTATTTATTTGAGTGAATACATTATTCACAGTTTAATAATAATTTTAAAAAAAATATATATTTTATGTTTTGTGATAATTTGTTCTGCTGTACCGAAAACATACCGAACCGAACCGTGACCTAAAAAACGAGGTACGTACCGAACCGAAATGTTTGTGAACCGTTACACCCCTACTGGCTAGTACAGTAAAAGTTATTTGCCTTTCATCTGAAACATTCCTTTGCTGCAACACTATTCATTTTCCTAGCCATAGCTGACAGGAATCAAGCACATATAAGCAAGTCACTCTTATGTCAGTTGTAATAAAATGCAAAGCAATAATTATCAAGTCAATCCAGTCGGAAGGGTTCTCCAAGCCACATTGCTACACATATTCCAATTACTTGTATATTAGACTCTTCTTGCAGTATTTATATTCTATTGCATTTGTATTTATTTGCACTATTGTATCTGTTTATTGTGTTGCACTGTTGGAGGAGCCTGTGACATAAGATTTTCATTGACATATCTACACTATGTACAAATGACAAAAAAAGCCTTGAATCTTGAATCTGTTTTTTTATTATCCTTATCAGGTTATATATTACAAAGGTTGAAAATGGTATAGTTTATGGATGAAATGTTTTGCTGACAAAGCAACCCTACAACAAACCATGTGAACTGTGCAACTTTTGTCAAGTGAACATGTTGTGCTGTTCTCTGATGTTAGGTTAATCTTTCACGGCAACACATGAATTAACATTTAACAGGTCACCCTTATAACAGTAATAACAGAAACCTGTCTGTCTCTAGACAAATGCCAGAAATTACTTTAGCCATATCCAGTCTGAAAGTTCAGTCAGGTTATTTATTACCATGGCTAAACATTTTTGGGGAATGCAAAAACTTGTTGACTGGTCACTTGCATTTCCACAATACACAGCGTTTATTAAATGTGTGGGGGTTTTTTTTGCATTAAAAAAGGTAACACACCTGTTGCATTCTATCATGAAATTAATGTATGTAATGAAAAAAAAGTTGCAACAGTTATTTGACATTTGACAAAACTTGTGTTATTAAATATTATTGTAAGGATATTTTCTGGTTCCCTTTTAAGCTAACATACATATCCACAAGCAGATTTAACTTCAAGTTTTCATTCAACCATTTCAGTTACAAAATAGATGTTTGGGAAAATGAAAGAGTGATGTTTTCAAATGGCAAAAAATGTGTTTAAACAATGAGAAATCTTAAACAATACTAACACAATTCAAAAGCGATATTCCATAATATAACTTTCATTTAATGAAGTGCTAGATTGTCAAAGTGGACTTTACAAGATGTTCAATCGTATTGTTGTTATTTTCCAGTGCATTGACACTTAAACCTGTTATAAAGCAATAAAAAGGAAGAAAAACATTACTGGCTGCAATGGTAAGGACTGTGATTTCAAGGCAAGACATTCATGCTGTGTGATAATAGTGCTCAAACTACAGTTAATGTATTAAGGATAATCTCAATCCTACTGGAATCAAGAATTATTTGGCATTTTTGCATTAAATACGCTTTTTATTAATTTTCTGTTCATCTTTTTGTCAGTATAGCATGCCAAGTAAAAAGGAACATATTTAAGAGTAACAGAAAGTCCAAATGAATAATGTTTTAAAATGTGAATTCTGTTTAAGAAGTACCCCAGTAGTTATTAAATATGTTAACCATCATTTATTACTTTATATCTAAAAATGAGGTTGGCATTAAAGAAGCTTCATAACTATTTCCTAAGGTACCCACCTTTCTCTCTTATGCATCTGTGTCATAGTTTCAGGTAGAGGTTTTCCAAAAACTCTCCGGCAGGAAATAAGCAGAGCGATGGCAGCCACAACAGCCAGAGTCGACAGTATAATATAAGGAAGATATAATATGTATGTATCTAAAAATTGAGAAGGGTAAGGTTTAGATTGGAGAAAAGTCTGGGGGCTTTAGATGAAGTTATGTCAGAGTGTGTGTAAGGCTCTCAAACTTGCTGAAGATATAACAAACTGGACGTGCATTAATGCAGCAAAAGCAAATATGTACTCACTCAGCTTTATTACAAAAGGGTGCTATACATGATCCACTCTGGAGACAGTCGTGCACGTCCCTATTGCTGTGTTCCTTAGCACTGTTTGGGTAAAGCTCTGTCAAGTATGTGAACATCAGGGAGAAAGTAGCGGTAAAAGCATATTACCGAACATCTCCAGTGCAATACAGAGATTGGGTAGACCTACAGAATAAAGAAATTGTTTGTCAACTGTTGTTTTTCGTTAATAAGATACACAACTGTAGCACTTGATTTTACCCATGTTTGTACCATGAAGCCATTTTCTCCTACAATACAATAACAAAGGTTACAAACCTGATAATTTAAAATTAAAGCATAACTAATTCCTGACTCATGATGAGTAAATGCACAAATCAATGCAAGAGTTATTTCCCTTGTTCACCATTAAATACAAAATCCAGTAATTGAGTTTGTGAGAAGTTCCTATATAATTGTAACAGAGGTAAATATAAAGTATGTTTGGTGAATAGCTTGAATAAATAACAATTGTGATTTTCTTAAAGATATAAAGCGTTCTCTATATTAAACCTTTGTTCTGAGACTCCCCCCATATTTGTTTTGGGCTTACTTTGAGGCACCAATAGTATGAGGTAAAGCGGCATTGCTCCAAGAAGCAAAGAGGAGATGACAGACGGTCGGCGGGGAAGGTAGTGCAGAATCAGCCAGCTAGAAATGTAGGCTGGTACCCTCTACAGCTTGCTGAGATGAAGCAGCTGATGTAGGGGTTAGCATGAAGCTGAGCTGTGTTCAGGGACAGGCCAAAGTATCCTGTTGTTGAACAGAAGCTGGGTAAGACAAAGACACCAACGGATCGGAGATGATTGAATATATCAAAAAAAGAACTGTTAAGAAAATAGAATGAATGTATATTTGAGTGATTAGAGAAAACAGATTGTTATTGTGTTGAATATGTGTTGTGTAATAAGTGATAATTATAATGGGTTTTTATTATGTGAATGTGCATTTACATGTACATGAGTTTGAGTGGGATGAGCCCTCTCAGACATGATAGTAACTGTTAATAATGCAGAAAAATCTCATTGTAAGTAAATGAAATAAAAAGCAGCATACTTACAACACAAAGCAGAAGATAAGTGTTGTGGTTCTCATGCTGCTTTTCCTCAGCAGGTCGAGGACATTGGCTTTTTCTATAGGCTGTGCGTTTTTCTCATCACCCTGCCAGAATTGAAAACAAAATGAAACCCTGTGTTGTGGTTTCTTTCCTCAGTGGCCTAATATCTATATGAAAACAACAACATGCATTTTTCTAATTTAAATACAAATGTGTCCATCCAGAAAATGACAAATGGATATATCATATGGCGCTATGATGAGAACAACATGGTAACGTTTGTTTAAAATGAGATTATGTACTAGTGGCTAGCAGTGGGTTATATGATTTAAAACCCTTGCTCTGGGGTACATTTTGTGAATGTTCCTGCTAGCGTCTCTCCCTGACTCTGGATTTTTGGCTAGAACCCCTTCTCTTTTTAACGTGGTGGTTGTGTACTGTATTTGTATTATTTAAAATTAGGACTAATTTCAAGGCTAATCGAAGATGTTTTTGACCATTCATTTTTACAGACATATAACACATATGTTGCTTGTGAAATTACAAAAATCACTTTAGATGTGTTAATACCCTGGCCTACAACATTCCTGACAATATACACATAAGAAAAGTATTATAAAATGGAGTACCAACAACAGGAAAAGCAGATAAACTTACACACTGTAATCTCGAAAGATGAATTCGGAACCTTAACTTTGTTCCACTTAGCAGCCTTTCTCACTATGGCCTCAGCCTCCTCCACTTTTCCCTGAGAGAGCAGCCAGCGAGGAGACTCTGGATGAACCTGCGTCAGTGTTTCAGATTAGACAGAAAGCAAGACTCGGGCTGGATCAGAGAGACTTTAAAGACAAAGTATAAAACATTTTGTATTGATAGTACAGCTGAATATAGACAGGAAAGAGGGAGAGCGACGGGAGAATTACACAGACATGTATTCATCTTGTACTTTAGTGTGACTATGGGAATACCTCTATAGGGATGTATGTAAAACAGGCACAGCCATTGATTTACATTTATACTTTCATGTATGCAACATACGTCCAGAGAGGGAGGTAAAGCAGGCCGGGTAAAGACGAAGCCAACATGAGAGATTTCCAATCCCTCAAAAAGTAAGCAGCAAGAGGTAGAATCATGTAACCAATGGCAAAGCCTAAACACGAGCCCAACGATGAGTAAAGGACTCGCACATTGCCAGTCAAGATCTCAGCGCCTGTGTGCAGAGATAAGAGAGAGAAGTTTTAACACATTCCTGCATTGTGTTTTATTTACGACAGAGGCACTATTATAGACTGTGACATGTACCCAGCACTAAAGCAGCCACAAAGTTGGACATCTGTCCCAAACCATTGAAGAAGAGGAGGATAGTAAACATAGTCCACGAAGTAGAGAAGACCTGAATGAAGGAAAATAACGTCTGAACTGCCATGGTTGCAAAGAGCACAGGTTTTCTTCCAAACCTATGAGACACAAGTAAACATAATAAGAAAAACAAATGCATAACCTAGTATATACTATATACACATATATGACATAATAGTTTTTCTGTCGAAGATTTGAGTGTAGATGTGCTCCACACAAACATGTGTGTTTACAGTTTTTGTGACATAAAAGAAAAAAAACCACTTAAAGTTACGTTATATACTATATCACGGCATTATTGAGCACCATGTAATCTGATGCTGGAAAAGCTTTTTATAATCTGTAAAACACAATAACACAAAATCCAACATAATGGGTTTTAGTAGCTGTGTATAAAATCATGCTGTGTCTTATGCGTCAGTTGGAGTAGGCCACAGCAATGCTAGTAATGTATACATCACATGGTTCTGGTGTTTTATAGTACCGGTCTGACAGCTGTCCTGAGAAAAAGGATCCAAAAGAACTCCAATGAAGTAAACTGTGGCGGTGAACGGCTGCTTCCACTCATCACTGCACACCAGGTCGAACTGGAATATCCAAACAATACCATGTTTTAAAAATGACATTGTTGGCATTGTTCAGGGTATTTCCCCGGTAATGTTATGATCTCTCTGCAACTGGTTCTTTTAAGACACTTGTTCGATGTCTGATTATATTTCGATGATGCTAAGTCTGTGTGGTCAAATGTGCCCCTGTAAATAACTACTGTAGCGGCAAGTGACACAGGGGACTTTTTAGTACTTTTAATAATTATGTGACAATGATGCAGTGATCTTGCAGAGATACAGTCACAAACTTGACAGATATGTAGTTTAGATTTTTTTTAAATTTTTTTTTTACATTTAACGAAGATATTCACTTTATAATCACAAGAATGAAACCATCTATCTGAAAGAGAGAGAATATTCTAATCTGGAGACAAACAGGCTGAACTTGCCAGTCTTGACTAGCAGGCGGAAAAAAACAAGACCATTTGCACAGCAGTCAAAGGCACGCCTCGGGAAGAGAGTAGATCCCCTATCTAGCACATTGAACTTCAGATGTTTATGTGAATTCCTAATACATTTAATACTCAGTACCTCGCCCAAGTTAGGCAAACAATATTGTATTAAAGTCAAAAATAGAAGAAAACTGTTTAAACATTAAGCTTGTTAACATTCTATGCCTTACATTGTTCTGTGGAGGGATTATTAGTATAGGTAGTATAAGCAAGCATTAACATGTCTATTGACTGACAACAGCTGTGTTCACTCCGCTGCTGCCAGGTGTGCTAAGGCACAGAGGTTTTTAGACCATCCAAATGATATGATATAACATTTAGAAAGTACTTAGCTGATTTAGTACACATTAAGAGAAAATGAAAAAAGCTTGCACTGAAGCACTATAGTATCAACAATGGGATACAAAATGCAAGACATAAAATAAACTGACTGCGAAGGTTGGGGTAAATGTTGGCACGCACACACACCTCAGAGACTACGGTAGACTGGTAGATGTCTTTGCTGTAGCTCCACCCGTCCACACAGCCCTCCTGTTCCAGTTCGGTGACGTTGACGTCCCTGCCAGGAATGAAGCCCTGAGCAGAGAGGTTTCTGACAACATCCAGCCTGTACCTGCTGCACCTGCTCTGCTCCTGTTTCCCATTCACCACCTAACAGTCACAGTGATACAAAATGTGTTAGTGTTATCAGAAAGGTTGATTTTTCAGTGAAAGTATGCTTTTACTGTGTAATGTGTTATAGCGTGTAACACATTACACAGTAAAAGCCCCACCCCCCCGGAAACACAGAGGGCCCTCATCACATAACTTTGCGTGGCCAGGGGGCAGCCCTGCGTGTAAGGGACATGTGGGAAATAAACGTTGGGCAATATAGCTGTGCACTAACAATACTCGTGATTGTCTCTACAGTGTACTATCACATAAGCATAGAGTGTAGCCACATTTAGTTTTAAAAAGATAAATACATAGATATTTGTATCCCTTGTCTTTTTACAAGAAACCATCCCAGTAGATGCGCCATCCCGTGCATGCTTAACTATTAAGGGTAACCTTTTGCTGGTTGCAAATGATGTGCAAATAGTCTATCATTGAAAATACAAATAGGTTTATGTAGGACACAGTTGTACATTTTCTCTAAGAAGATGCATTCAATGACAGAAAAACCTGTATATGTTTCATTCTGGATATTAGGCTTTACATTCATAAAGATATAATCCAAAAGTTTGTGTACAAAAAATGAAATCATGTTTCCAGAAAAGCTTTAGCAGATTCACCTTTATTGGTATGATGGTTGTATTCCAGTCTTCTGTAAGGTTGAAACCAGGAACAACACAGTGATGTCCTGGCACATCCGTCAGGAAAACGAGAATGAAAGTACTAAATCCATTCGGCACGAGGCTCACACAAAGCAGGAAGAAGACAACCTGCTGGAAACGTCCCCACTGACCAAGAAAAGAGATGGAGTCAGCAAAGTCCTTCATAGTGTAACAATATCTAGGATGACGTTGACATCATCTGTCTTCCTGGAAATGTAATATAGGTAGTGATAGAGCAAGGCTGTGGCATACAAGAGAGTTAGAAAAAAACCTAAACTCGGATGGGACATTCCTATTCAGCCACCACCTTGTCTTGGCATGACAGACAGCAAGCCATGCAACACAATAACTTGATCCTCAACTGCACTGTCAGTACACAGCCTCTGTCAACCATTATTTGCATGATTCAAACTATATTTATACATAGCAGGTTCAGCGAGTGATATGCTCCTCCTTCTAGGAACGCCCTGATTATTTTGTTTGTTCCTCCCCTTTAAGAAAGACAGTGCTAACCACAAATGCAGGTCACCCTGTACAGATGCATACAGAAAACACTTTTTTCTACCAGCATTTCAAGTGACTACGATCACTTTGTAAAATTATATTTAAGCAATAATATGTCCAGTGTTTTGCAATATATCACGAGATAATGAATTAAAACCCCTGTATTATGATACATATCACATTACCAGAGTTGTCAATAAAGTAAACAACTGTTTCAACCTTTAGAAGCAATAGTTGTCAAAGTCAAAAAGCGATGGATAAATACAGTTATTTTTATTAAGATCTTCACTGAACATATTTGAAATTACACAATGCTCAGTGCTGTAATAATTCATTTTTTAAGTAATTCTAAACTTGTGTATACCAA